GGCAAGCGCAAGGTCGTGAGTTCGGTTCCCGGTACCAGAGAAAAACCAAAAAAAAAACCAAAAACCCAAAAAAAAAAAAAACGAAAGTTCATGTCCCACCTGGGCCACTTACTGGGACCCTATTTCAAAACAAGGTGTACAGGGGGGGCCTGCAGGGGAGTGACAGGCGGAGGGAGAGGCAGGGAGAAGACCAGATGGGGGGTGAAGGGGAGCCCCCTCTGTGGTACTTCCTACCCTTTCATGTGGGGTGAAGAAGGGGGATGCATTTACTGGGGTTCACTGTCTCCCCCAACCGTGGGAGGTGGGGCTGCCCCCAAAGCCTCCCATGTTCCCAGGTCCCCAACCTAGTCAGTGACATTCTCCCCTCCCTGGGGTGCAAGGAGGGATGTGAGCGTGTCTTCTAGGGGAGCACGGAGCAGGGCACACAGGACAGCTGCTAGGTAGGGATCTGCCTTTATCTTCACAGGGCGCCCACAACCCTACTTCCCGTGTCTGTGGACCTGACAATTTAAGGGGCCTCCTGGGAGAAGGACAACGCAGTGTCTGCTTAGTTCACCGAGCAGCATGGCCTCAAGAGCTGTCTGTGCTTTAGCAGTGTCAGAATTTCCTTTCCTTTTTTACTTTTTTTTTTGGCCTTTTTGAGACAGGGTCTCACTATGTAGTTCAGGCTGGCCTTGAACTCACTGCGATCCTCTTGCCCCAGCCTCCCGAGTGCTGGGATTACAGGCGTGAGCCACTATCCCCGGCTGTTTTCACATTTTGACAGTGAGTTGTGTCTCTGCGGACAGCTGTGCACGTTTTTGCACACCCATGTGCTTTCTTCTCTCTGGGGGACACACCCAGGTGTGGGATTGCTGGAGAGTCCGTACTTAATGTCCAGTTTGCTCCCCACTGTACCGGGGATTGAACCCAGGACTTCACACTGAGCTGCACCCCCAGCCTTTTGAGACTGGGTCTCCCTAAGTTACTAAGTTACCCAGGTTGGGCTTGAACTTGCCGGCTTCCTCCTTCAGTCAGCCACAACTCTGAGGTGACACGCGTGTGCCTCTTGCTTTAGTCTTTGCAGACAGGTTTGCAGTGGACCGGGACGGCCCCAGAGTCTACCAGGAACCCCACGGCGCCACGGGAGGGGGCGGGGCTGGGCCCGCACCTGCGCGGACTACTGGGCCTCGAGCGCCCGGGCGGGGCTCGCGGGCTGCGCTCCTCCCTCCCCTCCTCTCCGGGAAGCCACTGACCCAACACCACGCCCAGCCCCGCCTCTTCCACTTTCCTTCCTGGGACGCGCTGGGACCGCTGAGCACGTCGCGCCTGCGCAGACGCCCACCTGGCTGAAGCTGCAGGTGCGTCCCGGGCACACCTGGCGCGGGGCGGAGGGTGGAGAGCGGAAGGAGGAGGAGGAGGGGAGGAGGAGAAAGAAGGACGAAGGGGAGAAAGGGGAAAGGAGGAACAGCAGGGAGGAGCGAGGAAGCCGAGGAGAGGGAGAGAAGGAAGAGGCAAGGAGAAAAAGGGGAGGAGGAGGGAGGCCCGGCTGGTTCCCGCCGTGGACCCCCTTTCTGGGAAGCCCCAGGGTTGCTCCCTTGGAACTCAGCGAGCCCAGCAGGACCCAATCTGCCTGGCGGCGCCGCGCTCCCAGGGCACCACCTGGCCCTGCACCTTCACACGGGTGCCCGGCGTGCTCTGTGGGGGCGTCCTGGGCACTGCAGGGCGCTGAACAGTGTCCCTGGCCTCTGCCCGCGCCATGCCAGGAGCTCCCTCTTTCATGACAACCACACGTGTCCCCAAGAATTGTCCAGTGTGCCTGGGATCAGAGGGATCAGAACTGTCCCACCCAAGGGGGTGACAGTGGGATGGGACAGAGCAGAGGAATGGGACAGAGCTGTGCGGTCCCAGTTGGCAGCCATTGGGATTGAAGGCAGAACACAGGCCAGCTCCAAGCATGGCACCGAAAGGAAAATGTGTAACACACTGGTAACTTCACCTGGAGGACAAGGTGACATGTGACACTTCAGCTACGAACTGTCCACTGAAAGTAGCCTGCTTTCTCTGGCTCTCCACGTGGGTACACACTACCCGGATCTGGCATCCTCAAGGTGCTTGGGATGATTTTTTATTTTTGCAAGGCTGGCAAAACACTTGTTTGGCAAGCACTCACCGTTGAGGTACACTCCCAACCAGTTTTATTTTGAGACAGGGTCTTACTAAGTTGCCCAGGCTGACCTCCAACTTGTGATCCTTTTCCCTCACCCTCAGTGGTAGCTGGGATGGCAATCATGCCTCACTGAGCCTGTCCAGGTTCCATGTTTTGCACTTATTTTTTTTAGTTCAGGCTGGCTTTGAACTCACTATGTACAGCCAAGGCTGGGCTTGAATTCAAGGAGATCCTCCTGCTTCAGCCTCCTGAGTGCTGGGATGATAGGCGTACTCCACCACACCTGGTTGTTACAGACCTTTTTTTTTTTTTAAACTTGCCCCACCCAAGAGCCTTCACAGGGTCAAACAAGGAAATGCAGTTGTCCCAGGGCTGAGGCTGGTCCCATCTGGGAGAATTCCACACGGTGAGCTTGGAGGGTGGTGACCCATGCCCCCAAGTTAATGTAGCAAATATTGGGCTGGGGTGAGGGTTGCTGGTGAGTGCTTGTCTAGCATGCTCAGCATGCGAGAAGTCCTGGGTTCCATCCCCAGCAGTGCATAAAAAGGTAAAACTAGGGCCAGAGGTGGTGACACATGCCGGTCACTCCAACATGCTGGGAGACTGAGGCAGAAGGATCACAAGTTCCAGCCAACTTAGTGAGTCCATCTCAAAATTTAAAAAAAAAAAAAAAAAAAAAAAAAAAGCCTGGAGATACAGCTCAGTGTGAAGGAGCTGGGTTCAATCCCCAGTTCTGAGGGAAAGGGGAGTGGACAGCATAGGGAGGACAGCAGGGAGATGGGCATGATCAAAATGCGATGTGTGTGTATGAGGTGCACGCCCGCCATCCCTGGGAGGATGAGACAGGAAGACCACTATGAATTTGAGGCCAGCCTGGACTACACAGTGAGTTCAAGGCCAGCCTGAACCATATAGTTAGACCTTGTCTCAAAAAAAGTGCTGTAACAAACCTGGGCAGGGTGGTGCACACCTGTCAGCCCAGCACTTGGGAGGCTGTGGCAGGCCAGCCTGAACTACATAGTGAGACTCTGGCTCAAAAAACCCAAACATAAATAAATAAAATGCTGATAAAAATATCCATATTGGCAAAGTAATGAATTTCAATAAATTGCATACATCGGCAAAGCTAGCCCTGGCACACTGGCAGGCTGCCCGCCTGCGACTCCTTAGCTATTCAATCGGCGTGGTTGCTGGCCACACAGCAGACAGCCACTGAGTGGACGGTGTGCTGGGCCGGATGTTGACAAGTTAGGGTCCTTGGGCTGCTGCCTGCTGTCTCTGGGGACACAGGCAGGCACATGCACGTGGCCAGGGATGTGCTGTTTAATTTGTAGGGGGACAGAACCCAGGGCCCTCACACTGAGTTCCATTCCAGTCCTTTTTGTTTTACATTCTAAGGCAGGGTCTCGATAAATTGTCCAGGCTGGGACTGACCTTGTCATCCTGTCTCAGCCACCCAGAGTGCTAGGATTAGGTGTGTACCATGCCTATTTTTTTTTGTCTTTTTGAGACAGGGTCTTGCTGTGCAGTTCAGGCTGGCCTTGAGCTCACTTTGTAGCTCAGGCTGTTCTCAAACTCGCAGCAATCTTCCTGCCTCAGCCTCCTGAGTGCTGGGATTATAGGTGTGCGCCACCACACATGGCTGTTTTGTCTTTTTGAGACAGTGTCTCACTATGTAGTACAGACCATCCTTGAATTTGTGATCATCCTGCCTGCCTCCAGAAGGCCGGGAATACAGGCTGGGCCACCCTGCCTGGCTTCATGCTGTTTATGATGAATATATGAGCTGAAAATAGATGGTAAAGCCAAAATACCAAAGCCAGGTGCTGTACTGCACACCTGTCACCTCAGCCCTCTGGGAGGCTGAGGCAGGAAGATCACAAGTTTCAGCCTAGCCTGGGCAACTGAGCAACTAAGACTCTGTCTCAGAATAAAAAGGACTGGGGATGCAGTTCAATGCAAAGGCCCTGGGTTCTACCCAGCACCCTAAGGAAATGAACAGAACCTGAGGACATGAGGGGGGCGCTGCTACCATGTGTCAGGGTCACCCGTGTGCACTCTTGACCCCCAAGGCCCGATCCTTCACCCTCACGAGAAATCTCAAATCACAGCCCAGAACCTCACACACAGTACTGTGCATCTGCTTGTTGTAAGTGCCAGAAAGCTGCAAAGTGGTTCAAACCTATCTGCAGGGACACACAGGTCTCTCCTGAAAGCAAAGATCGTAAGCCCTGTGTTCTGCAGAGGACCCTGGGGGTCAGGCGGGGCAGTGAGCCTCCTTAAAGCCAGCATGGCCACTTCTGGTCCCCAGGAAGCATGGCGGGCTAGGGGTGGTCCTCCGGGTCTGTGTGAGAGGTGGGCCTCAGCAACCTGGAGACTCTAGGGCTGGGCCTGCTGGGAGCCCCAAGGCCTGGGAAGTAGGATGAGACCGCACCCCTTCTGTCTAGGCCTACTACCAAGGGTACCAGGCGGGGCGGCTGCTTCGGGTTGGCTGGGAGAGGAGGTGACAGTCACCGACGGTGGGGTGGCTGCAAGTGCAGGGGACACAGGACCTGCTTATCTGCTACATCTGCTGGGTTTCGACCACACAGGGCTGGAAACCAGCGCTTCCTCTCTGCAGAGCTGCGTCAGCTCCGGGGCCGGTCCCCGGGGACAGTGAGGCAGCGCAGGGGGAATGGGCCCCTCCCAGCAGGGCCGGAGGTGCAGGTGGTGCCATACTCTCCACGGAGACCAGGCCGGCGCCTCAGTCTCAGGCCCCCCAGCCCGGTCCCTCCTGGCTCCCCAGTCCCCGCGCCCTGCCTGCAGCCCTGAGGCTGAGTTGGGGAAACAAAGGTGACAAAGAAACACTGGGCAGCGTGTGCAGTTTCTTCTCGTTTTGTTTCCTTGTGTATAGGCCTAAGGAAGCAGGGTCCCGATGACAGCAGGCACGCGTCACCCTCCCCTGGGGACGCGGACACCAAGGCCCCTGGGGCGGAGGGTGAGAAGCGCGGGCCTGTCCTGGCAGGGCCAGAGCGCAGCCCAGACGGGCAGGAGAGGTGGCTGGCGGGACCAGGCGGGCGCTGTCAGACAGCGGTTCGCGTCGGCGTGCTGGGCTGGTTGAGGCGCAGGGTCCTGCACAGCCAGCCGGCGAAGTCCACCTCCTCCACTTCGGAGCGCTTGATGAAGGCGTGGTTCTGCAGGGGAGGGAGGGCGCGGTGCTGAGGGGACGAGGAGGGACGGGAGGAGCCACCCGACAGGTGGCGAGGGCAGCCGGCACTGCAGGTGCTGAGCAGCATCCCTGTCAGGAGTCCCCAGGTATGACAGCCACCAGTGTCCCCAGGCTACACAGGCACACACACCCCACCAGAATGGTCCAACATGGCTGCCCACACACTGTCCAACATGACCGCCACCTGCCACCAGCTTCTCTGGTCTCAGGAGGAGTTACCAGCTTGTCCTCAACCTGAGGGTAATCCTCAAGAAGCTGGTTAAAGCCAGTGTGGTGCACAGCTGTCATCCCAGCACTCTGGGAGGCTGAGCCAGGAGGGTTGCAGGTTTGAACCCAGCCAAACTTAGGAAGACCCTATCTCACAATGAAGAATAAGAACAGCGGGGGATGGAGTGCAGTGTGAAGGCCCTGGGTCCCATCCCAGCGGCACCCCCCCCAAACCAAGTGAAAAGCCCCAGCTGTTTCCACACTCCGCCCTGCTCCTCTGCCCCACACCTGCATCTCCACGGTGCAGCCATGGAACACACGCAGCCGTCACGAGCCTTTCTACACTGGCTCTTCCCACCCGAGCTCTGGTCTAGGCCGTCTGTTCAGACCACAGCACAGGGTCAATAGGCCCTGGCCACAGAGCTGTCCCTGCAAACAGGTGAAAGGGGGCAGTGGGAGGAGGAGGAGCCACAGGGAGTGAGGAGGGCGGGCTGTGCAAAGAGCCTGTGGTGCAAAGCCAGGGCTGGGGGAACTGCATGTGGTCTGACCACAGGGCCTGCAGGCCGCGAGGCAGAGGCCCCAAAGGGTGCGGCTCACTAGTTCAAAATGCCACATCCCAACAGTCACTAGCCATGTTTGGCTGTCTTAGGACCAGTGTCTTACATCTGCAAACAGCCTGGTTTTATGGTTTTCTTTCTTTTTTTTGTCTTTTTGAGACAGGGTCCCATTATGCAGTTCAGGTTGGCCTTCAACTCACTCTGTAGCCCAGTCTGGACTCAAACTTGCAGCAATCCTCTTGCCTCAGCCTCCTGAATGCTGGGATTACAGGCATGTGCCACCATGCCCAGTTAGTTTTTGTTTGCAGTAGTACTTTATTTATTGTAGTACTGGGGATTGAATCCAGGGCTTTTGCACTGAGTTACATCCCAGCTCTTTTGTAAGTTCTTTTAAATTTTGATACAGAGGCTGGGGATATAACTCAGTGGCACAAGCACCTGCCTGGCAAGTGCAAGGCCCTGAGTTTGAATCCCGGTACCAAAATAAATAAACACATAAATAAATAAATTTTGATACAGAGCCTTGAAAAGTTGCAAAGTTGTCTAGGCTAGGCTTCAACTTATGATCCTCCTCTCTCAGCCTCCCAGAATGCCGGGATGGTGAGAATTTAAGGAGAGGACGCCGAGACCACTCTCTTGGGCCTGGGGGCTGTGGACAGGAGCAGGGGGCAGACCCAGAGTGTCAGGGCTCAGGACCTGAGGCTGCCTGGTTCTCTCCCAGGCCAGAGGCCCAGGAGCTGCCTAGAGCCCCAGCACTGTTCCTCTGAGGCCCGAGGCCCTGGCCAGCTCTGGGCTCCTCCTGCTGAAGGCATGCAGTGTGGCCCTCTCCCAGGACAGCTGGAGGCCTGGCTCCCCAAGTTCTCTTACCATGAGCATCTTCAGATCTGCGCGCTCCGCTGGGTTCTTAATGAGGCTGGGGATGGGGACAAGAAGGACGGTCAGGGTGCCATGCTGTCCAGTGCCAGGCCCATCAGGAGGCCTGGACCTGGAGCATTTGGCTCGGCCACCTGGCCCTGTCTGGACAGCAGTGGGTCCCTCGCTGCCCTTGGTGTCCTGGAAAGGGCCTGGAGGGTCTGAGAGAGAAGAGGAAGACAGAAGGCAGGAAACCCTGCTGCCTGTCACCAGCACCACAGCCACCACAGCTCAACTGCTAATAAAATCCATGTTTGGAATCCAGCATCAAAATGGAACGTTACCCTTTAACAAAAAGCAGAGCTTTCAGCAGTTCTGCAGTGCAAAGCGGCTCAGGGCCAAAGGCTCCTCAGGCACACCCACTGTGTGGTGGTGCACACCTGTACTCCCAGCACTTGGGAGGCTGAGGCTGGAGGGTTGCAAATTGAACCCCTGCCTGGGCTACTTAATGAGATCCCATATCAAAACATAAAATGGGCTGGGATGTAGCTCAGTGCAAAGACCCTGGGTTCAATCCCGAGTACTGTAAGAAAAGGAAAAAAAAAATCTCGCATAGAGACAGGGATGTCTACTGAGCTGCTAAACAGTTATGCAAAGGGCCTGTGGTGCCCTTCCCCACCCAGGAGCATCTGATGGGTGCCACCCACTCTTAACACAGGTGGCCGACAGGGAAGCAGGCCCACACCGCAGCCCTTTGGTCCCCTGCATGTGTGCACAAGGCCCCATCACAGATCCCACTGTGTCTTCTGAGGGTGGGAGGGTCCCAAAACTCAGCTGGCCAGGCTGGCCGGGCAGTGTTGGGACTGCAGGCATTAGAAGCAGGGATTAGGACCTGGGCAGGGGCCTCGGGATCACCTAGGGCCTGAAATCCAGTTTGCATGGGGCTCTGGCTTCCCAGGTAGGCTTGGGTGTCCAAGATCTAGCACGACCGACTGGGATTCCTGACCCGCATCTGGGTCCAGGACCCAGGGGACCGGTGTCTGAGGGAGTGGCTGGGCGTGGCCAACCCTGGCCACAATGATGTGTATACCTTACCATTTATTTACAAACTCCTGGAAATCCAGGCTGAACACACCACTGGGCAGCTTGGGCGGCGGCTGTGGGGAGAGCAGTGGGTGGTCAGCCCTGTGGGCCTGGGCACCTGTCCCCTCCCTGGCCACCCTGTGCAGGGCATGCACTACTGGGCAATCCCTCTGGGGCTTCAGGTCTGTGCTGTCATCCCCAAGGCAGCAGACGGTGCTGGAACTGTGCGGGGGCGGTGGGGGGGGGGCGCAGGGAACAGCGCCGCTTTGGGCTGTGTGGTCACCTGTCCCAGGGCGGGGCCGCCCAATAGGTGGCTGCTGTGGAGCAGGCCTAGCCCTGCTGCTCGGGGTGGAGGCCCCAGATCTCCCCAGGATGCGCCTGCTGAGCCCAGGCATCACTGCCAGGCGCAGGAGACCTGTGTCACTAGGGCCATTCCACCCTGGTCAGTTGCCACCTGCTCCCAACCAGAGCCAAGCCCCAAATTGTCCTGGCTCTGCCCAGGTTCCTGGGAGGGTGGCTGGTGCAGGCCTGTGTCCCCGCTTCACTCTGCGTGCTGTCTGTGCAAGGGGACAGCCGGCCACGCCCATGGGCAGGAGGGGGGTTGTCTACAGAACACAGGGTCTTTGCACCTCCTTCCCAGAGTCCAGTGAGGTACTTGGAGTCCCTCTGCAGAAGGGGTGACTCAGCAGCTAGTCACACTCAGACCAAGCACCGGTGGGGGCAAAACTTGGGGCGCAGCCTGGCTCCCACATCAAATGCTTGGCCACCGGCACACCTGTCTCCCTGGGAGGCGGCTGTGATGGAAAATATGGGTTCCTCCTCATTTTAATACAGCCCTGTCATCTCAACACTCGGGAAGCTGAGGCAGGAGAATCTCAAGATCAAGCACTAGGTACATACCTCATTCACGATGTAGTCTAGCAGCTCAAAGATGGCCATGGCAGGCCGGCTGTCCATTCCATGACCTGCACAGCAGGGGACAGAAAAGGGAGTGAGGTGGACAGATGACAGCACTACTCCTGTGATGGTGCAGGTCCGAGTGTGTTGGATGCTGCTGTTCCTTGTACCGGTGACAGAGTCCCCCAACCTGTCTTCTTGGGATTGAGCTCATCCCCAGGGAGTGACTTCTCTCAGAGCCTCTCATGAATCACCAACCAAACAAAAGAGCCAGGTGTGGTGGTGCCTGTCCTCAGCATTCCAGGAGGCCGAGGCAGAAGGTTTTCATTTGAGCCCAGCCTGGGCAACTTAGTAACTCAGATAGACCTTGTTTTTTTTTTTAAAAAAAAAAAAAGACTGGAAATGTAGCTCAGGGCAAAGGCCCTGGGTTCAATCCCAGCACTGAGAAAAAGAACGCCAAAACGAGCAGGAACGTTTTTGAGAAGTCACACAGTTGGTCTAGCGCTGTTTCTGGGTTCCAAAGTCATCCCCCTGCGCTGGGCTGCACCAGGCTGGGGGGAGGGGGCTGGCTGCAAGCAAGGACAGCAGCGTGACCTTGCGCAGAGCTGCTGCTGGTGACAGTGCAAGCCCCAGATGCCACTTGGAACGGGAGGCTGGCGGGGGGTGGCTGACCCCTGTCCAAGACCCAGCTGGCTGGGTCGGGGCTGGCAGCTGGACTTCGCCTCCTGCCGTCCTGACTCAGGCACGCAGGCCAGGGGAGGTGCCGCCTGCAGGGTGGCCCAGCTACCCCCACAGCGCCTGGCTCCCGAAGGACGAGCTAAGTGCCATCTGGGAGTGGGGCAGGGAGGGGCTGGGGCCACCGAGGATAAAGGGCTGGTGCCTCTCCCCTGGGGCGAGGTCGAGACACTTGAAGGATCTGCTCTGAGCTCAGGACTAGAGAGAAACAGGCTCAGACTGTCAAAGTCACCAAGGCTTTAACAACAACAACAGAAAAGTCACCTTGGCCTGGGCACAGTGGTGCATGCCTCTAGTCCCAGCACTCTGAGAGGCTGAGGCAGGAAGATCACAAGTTTGAAGCAGGCATTGGGCAACTCAAAACCTAAAATAAAAAAGGGCTGAGGATGTCACTCTGCAAAGCGCTTGGGTTCAGTCCCCAGTACTGGGGGCAAAAAAACCGAACCAAAACAAAACAAAACCCAACCCAAAACAAAACAGAAAGCAATCTCAAAAAAAAAAAAAAAAAATCCAAAACCAAAACAATCTCCCAGGGTCCCGGGGTCCCAGGTGCAGTTCCATCTTCTGAGAACTCCCATCCCCCAGCATGGCAGAGCATGTGGCAGGAACCCCTCTGGCAAAAGGACCCCATGAAGGTGGCTACCCTGAGTGAGGGGTGTTCCCTTCTGCACTGAGCTCTGCTGTGGGGCCCGACTCCAGCAGCCCCCAAGGTCATTCCAAGTAAACTCTGGCGTGTGGTGGAAGGAGCGGTGCAAACAGCCATGTGTCTGCCACTGCAGATGGCAGCGGGAATGTTTGTAGGAAATTTTTTCTTACTTTCCCTGTATGTTTGAATGTTTCCTTCCTTTTTTGTTCTTGTTTGACACAAAGTCTCACTATGTAGCCCAGAGTAGCCTCCAACTCTCAAGTGATCCTCCTCCCACAGCCTCCCAAGTGCTGCGGCTGCAGGCGTGTGCACTCTGCCTGGCTCCCTTTTCATTTTGTCGCGGTGCTGGGGATAGAACCCAGGGCCTCCACTCGCCAGGATCACAAGTCAGAGCAACTCCACTCAGCCACTGAGCGCTGAGCCGCATCCCAGCCTCCTTTTAACCGTTTCATACTAAACGCTGGGAAAGCCAGCCGGCCAGCGGGAAGGAACCACAGTCCAAATCCCTCCAGCTGGTCACAACAGGTGCAGCCGCCCTGACCACACCAGGTCTGGACGCTCACTACTCCAGCTCTGTCCCCAGAAACCCAACCGTCTGAGGACTGCTGACCTGGCCGCTGTGGTCCCAGGGGACAGGTGGCGGTCACTGAGGGGCTGGAGGAGCAGCTGCCGTCCATCCATCCGGTGCAGCGTGCCTGACTGCAGGGTCACTGCCCACGGCGCCCCCCCGCCCCCGACCGGATGTCGTAGGCCTACCGCTGATGGGGCGTCCAGGCGGCCGGGGCCGCGGTGAGATGCTCTGGGGCTGTCCTTCTGTGCCGTCGAGCACTGGCCGGCCGAAGATGGCCTCCAGCTCCTTGGCGTCGGGTGGGGGGATGGGGTACCTGCCGATGGACAGCTCCACCAGGGACAGTCCCATGCTCCAGATGTCCGACTGTACTGAGTAGTGCGTGCCCTGCAGCCGCTCTGGCTGTGGGAAGAGACGGGACGTGGGCTGGGGAAGGCTTGGCAGCTGCAGCCCGCAGGGCAGGGAGCCTGTCGGCCCTGCCCCACATTGGGCCACCCTCTTTCCACGGCTACAGACTGAAGAAATGGAGGACAGCAAGGCCATGTCCCCACCCACAGCATTTTCGTTTTGTTTTTTCTTTTTGAGACAGTGTCTCGCTCTTGAGTTCAGGCTGGCCCTGAGCTCACTTTGTAGCCCAGGCTGGTCTCAAACTCGCAGTGATCCTCCTATCTCAGCCAGCCACAGCACTTTCAGACGTGACTTTGGGATGAGGCTCCCATCACCAGCACTGAAATGGCTCTTTAGAAGCCCATGTGCAGCCCAGTTGGTGGTGCACACTCATAACCTCAGCATTTTGGAAGGCTGAGGCAGGAGGATCACAAGTCAGAGCAACTTAGGGATTTAGTGATATCCTGCCTCAAAATAAAAAATAAAAAAGGGCTAGGGATGTGGCTCAGTGAGAGGTCCTAGGTTCCATCTCCAGTCAAATAAAACAAAACAAAACAAAACAAAAAACCCCCACATACCTAGCACTTTGGGAAGAGGGTGACTGCCCAGGGAAGGCCAAAGTTGCCTCTTTTCCGTGGCCACCCAGCACCTGCTCTTGTGAGCCACCTGCAGGGATCCAGCACCCCATCATTTCCCAAAACACTGAGGGCCCAGGACCTCAGTTCAGAAATGAACCCTGGATGGACGACAACCCCTCAGGAGATGCAGCTGACACAGCAGCATGCTGGGTAGGTGGGTGGAGCCACGGAGGAGAAGCCTGGCGGACGTGGACGATGGTGTCCAAATAAGGCAGCTGCGGGCATCGGAACTCACAGACATGTAGGATCGAGTTCCCACGAAGGAGTTGGCCATGGAGTCGATGAGCTGCCCGCTCACCCCGAAGTCGCACAGCTTGATCTCCCCTCGGGAGTTGACCAGGATGTTGGATGGTTTCACATCTGCGGACAGACGAGAGGGGTTGAAGGCAGCCTGCCCGGTACCACTCGGCTGCTGGGCTGGGCTTACGGGGCCTTCTTACCTCGGTGCATGATCTGGTGCTTCTCCCGGAGGTACGCCAGGCCCCGGAGCACCTGCAGGCCAAGGACGGGGTGATGGACGGTGAAGTGGGGCTCCCACCCTATCGCCCCGTGGCCACTGTGCCTGGGCCAGGCTGAGGGAACAGATTTCAGGCTGTGCTAAACTGGCTAAGACGTGGGCCAAGTGACAGGCCACCGCTGCCCATGTGTACAGAAGCTGCCCAGTCCTCACAAAACCCTGTGGTGGGCAAGCAAGAAGAGGGGCTGAACCGGGCGTGGTGGCACACACCCGTCGTGACACCACTTGGGGAGGCTGAGGCAGGAGGATCACAAGTTCAAGCCCACCCTGGGGAACTTAATGAGCTCTTGTCTCAATCAAGCAATAAATAAAAAGGGCTGGGCATGTAGCTCAGTCTGAAGGCCCTGGGTTCAATGCCCACAAAGAAAGCAAAGAAGCCTTTGAACTTGGGCAGGGAGCAGATGACTGGCCCGGAGTGGAGGCCCAGGCCCACTGCACAGGGTGGGCCCGGGACACTCACCGCAATGCTGACTTTCCCCAGGATTTCCTCGGGAATCCGCTTGGCTTCCTTCAGCACCTGGTCAAGGGAGCCGCCGTCCTGGAAGGCACAGGGAGATGCCACTGTGAGAGGGTCACGGAGGGACAGGCGGACGGCATCCCCAGAGGGCAGGCAGGTGGCAGGTACACAATGAGGTGCTGCCCTGGGCTGGGAGAAGGGTGGCCATTCCGCCCCAGGCAACACAGGCAAGTCCCTGGCAAAGGCCACATGAGGACACAGAACAGGGACGGTCCCAGGGCACCCGCATGAACCTGCGGACTCTGTGCAGGCAAGAGGGGCCGCGAGGCTCAGGACCTGAGTGGCAGAGGCAAGAGAGCCCGAGCCAAGACTCAGCTCTTTGGCCCAGGTCCCACTGCCTGCAAACTGGCTTTGGGGTGGCGGGGTGGGAGGCAGGCTGGCCGAGGGCCACATCCAGTATGGTTTTCCATCCCCACAACGCCCCCCTCCCATGGAGGCGAGAAGACTCAGGCCTGATGCCCAAGGGCCCTGCAGAAGCGACACCCGGGAAGGAAAGAATAGGTTACAGGGGCACCGAGCCCCCTCCCTATTTCCCACGTGCCCATTTGCCACCGTGCCAGCATCCTCCAGGGGACCCAGAGATCACCACCCGGTCGGTGCCCCTTGCCACCTGGGGTGTGGCCCCAAATCCACCATGCCTGGCACGGGCTGGCCGGCAGCTAACTGGGGACCAAAGCTGTGAGTTGCCGGCCTGCCTGCGGGGCCAGCCCCAGGACACGAGGAGGTGACATGGCTGTCTTTCGCTGTGGGCCAGATGCCTGCCACCTCTGGGCTTGACAGACAGGAAACCAGAACCCAGAAGGTGCAGCTGGGGAGCCGGTACCCACCACAGTTCTCTGGGACCCTACAGTGTTCTGCCTTCCTGGGACATTTCAAGTCCCTTGGGGACAAGAGGCAAGAGAGCAGCCTGTGTCCTTTCTCTGCCCCAAGCAAGCTCTGAGGCCCCGGAACCCACAGGTGACCCCGCCAAGCAGCTCTGGGAGGAGGGTGACAGTCACATGGGCAAATGGGTGGCGGGTGTGGCCCACACTGGGAGCTAAGGAGGGACTGCTAGGCCGGTTGGGCCGGGCGAGCAGGCAGCGCTAGTCCAGACTGCGGACGGAACCCTGGGCCTTGGCACTGAGCTGCAGCCCTGGCCCTTCTATTTTTTCTTTTCTTTTGAGACAGAGGCTTGCTAAGTTACTAACTTGCCCAGGCTGGGCTTGAACTCTTGATCTTCCTGCCTCAGTCTGGATTACTGCCTTTGGTTGGTTGGTTGTTTTTGTGTCTTCTGACAGGCGATATATAGCCCAGGATGGCAATGAAGCTTTTTTTCTTTTTTTTTTTTTCCTTGAGACAGGCTCTTGCTAGGTAGCCCAGGCTGGTCTCAACTCACAATGATCCTCCTGCCTCAGCCTCCTGAGGGATTGGGTGACAGGTGGGTGCCACCCCACATTCAGCTTGCTCTGTTTCAAACAACTTTAGAAGAATTAAAAAAAATAAAACCTTGGTTGTGTTTTGTTTTAAAACTGTAACCTCTGCTCTCTGGCACCTCTCATTCTTAACTGTCTGCAGAGCTGTAACAAACGTCAACTGGAAGAGGAAACCGCTGACATGCGCTGGGAGGCGACGTGGGGCTGGGCCTCTCCCGAGGGCCCCAGGTTTCACCCTGGCCGTGGGGCGCAGGGAGGGCATCCTGGGCTCGGGCCTCCACCACCCCTTGCCAGGAGCTCCTGCAGTTGTGACAGCCACGAATGTCCCCAGACATGGCCCAGCGTGGGGACAGGATGGCCCTGGTGAGACTGTGGCCTACAGCTAAAATACCCTGAAGGCAGCAGGGTGAGTGGTCCGCCCGAGTCCCAGGGTAGGATGCGGCGTCGAGAGATTCGGCATCCAGGGCTGTACGACCCCGGATCTCACTGTGCGACCAGGCACTGTGCTCTGCATGTTTCAAATGCTATTTAAATTGTACCCAGCAGACGGTGCACAATACTATTCTTTTTTCTTTCCCTCTCTGTCTTGTCTTCATCTCTGTCTCTCGTTGAACCCAAAACCTTTGCACTGTGCACTACATCCCCAACTCTCTCCCTCTCTGTTTTTCTCTCTTAAATTTGTTTTGAGACACTGTCTCAATAAGTCAGTAAGTTGCCCAGGCTGGCCCCAAACTCGACTATTCTCCTGCGTCAGCCTCCCAGAATTCTTGGATTACAAGCATGTACCCCGCCACCCAACAAAAGCTGAGACAAATACACAAACAGGCTAGAGCAGGGATACAGTTCAGTGGCACAGCACCTGCCTAGTAGGTGTGAGGTTGTGAGTTCGATTCCTGGTCCCCCAAAAAATCAAAACCAAAAAGAAAAACAGCCAAACAAACAGGCCCACATCAGCCTGAGCTCCAATTATCCCTACTTGCCTCACACACTTAATAACGTGCTTTGGGGGTGTTCTTAGCACATGGGCTGGCTTCACTTGATACCAAGAGGAGGCCGTGTCCTTCTGCGCCCCTGCCTGAGGCTGACTTCCCATTACTGCACATGAGGGAGCAGCTCCTCTGCAGAGCGGAGCAGACCCAAGAAATGCCATGTGGGGCCTCTGTGTGCTCAGTATGTGGCTGGTCACCTGCATGTGCCCCTGTCACCCCACTGCCTGCTGGGATCAGCTCGAGTTTTTCCAGTATCAGGTGAGGCCACAGAGACCTGGCCAGCTCTGTTGTTCCTGAGCTCCAGTCACCAAGAACTGTAATCCCAAAACATGGGAGGATGAATGAAACAGGAGGATGCTGCGAGTTTGAGGCGAGCCTGGGCTACACAGAAAGGCCCTGTCTCAAAATTAACCCCCCAAAGAATTAGGGACACAGGAATACTGGTATGGCTTAGGGGTGGTATGTCCCCTATAAAACTCCATTTGAAGTTGGTCTCTCATGCAGTGGTGTGGAGGGGAGGTGGGAGATACTGGGGTGAGGGCAGTCACCGTAGGACAGGTGGTTATGGAGCAAGCCCATGGTCCAGGCCCTCACTTGTTTTTTTTTCCTTTGTCTTTTTGAGACAGGGTCTCGCTACGCAGTTCAGGATGGGCTTGAGCTCACTTTGTAGCCCAGGCTGGTCTCAAACTCGCAACAATCCTCCTGCCTCAGCCTCCCGATTGCTGGGATTACAGGCTGGCATGCATCACCATGCCCAGCAAGGCGCTCACTTGTGTAGGAGCCGGCCCCCACCTCCCACCAGCCTGCGTCAGGTCAAGGCTTGAAGTTGTCCTGGCAGCTGGGCAGATGCCCTGCCAAGCTCCTGGCCTCCGGCCCCCTGAACTGGGAGCCATGTAACCCTTGCTCCAGTGTGACTCAGCCACCTGTGGTCGTCCATCCCAGTAAAAGAAAAGGGACCAAGGCAGGTGCTAACCAAGCAGACAGCCAATGATGGGAAAGACAGACAAGATGGGGTTGGCAAAGCCACACAGGGCAGGGGAGCAGCGGCAGGACAAGGGCTGTCATCAGTTTAACACTCTGCAGGTGCAGGCGTCACCTGAGGCCTAACTCACCCTGGCTATAGCCTGATGGGCACTGACACCAACCTCAGCTCACACAGGAAGCCCTGGGGCCTGGCACCGAGCTCAAGAGGCGGGGTTGAGCCCGGCCCCAGTTTCCCCAACCACCACTCAGACACCCCAGTCCCCTTCCAGAGGTGGCCCGTGAGTGACAAATGCAAAGAACACAGCCAATGCTGAAACCTCGGCACACAGGGAAACTCAGAGACCACCTGGGTGAGGATAAGGCCTGGATTGAGGAGATTCCTCTGTCCCTCCAGACCGGCCTGCTCCCACCCCACCAGCCCTCAGGTTGCTCCCTGGCCTGTGCTATGTTTTTCGTTTTTTCAATAATCATAAATTCTAGCAGTGGACATATAGGCAACACCACCTGCCCCTTATTCATTCATGAGGGTCTGAGGATGGAACCCAGGGCCTTGAGCATGTCAGGCAAGCTGAGCAGCATCCCCTGCAATTTTTACTTATTTAGTTAGAGGCAGGATCTCACTAAGAGGCTGGCCTTAAACATGTGACTTTCTTGCCTCAGCCTCCCAGAATGTTGGGATGATAAGACATGTGCCACCATGCCTGGCCTGAGCATGTCTCTCGCTCTACAGTGGTGGTGACACTTACCAACACACAAGGTGAGGGGCGGCATTCGAGGTTCCCCCTCTTTTGCAGGGAAGCAGGAGGCCTCAGAGAACAGCCCTAAGAGCCCTTTCTCCTTCCTTCTGCCTTTGCTGCTCTGGGACCCCAGGACTATGCAAGGACACCCACCCCTAGGGTTGGGACCCCACAGCTAAGCAGGGCCTCTTGCTCAAACTCACTTCCTGCCTTCCTTACAAAACTGTCACTGGGGCCTGCGTGCTGGAACAGCAACCTCACCCCAGCCGACATGACAGCTGCCTCATCCTGGTTTTGCAAGGGAAGCCGGCAGCGAGGCTGCTACCTGACACAGCGGTTCACATGTGTGGGGGAGCAGCACTTCCTCCGGGCAGTGGCCGCCGACCACTTCTGCTTTTGGTGTGCTTGATCCCACCCAGTTTGGGGCCTGACAGCCAACAAGAGGCACACTGGAGCCTGCCAAGAGGTATAGAAAGATGGGTGCCCACACCCTCACCCAAGACTGGGGTCCCAGCCTGGCTGCCGCCTGAACAGCTCCAGAGATGCCTGCCTCCCCCAGAGGGAACAGCAGACTACAACCTCAGAACACTAGGAGCTCTGCCATCCCAGGGCACTTGTCCTGAGTTCGGGAGGCCTGGTCTCTACGCCGCAAGGTACCTGCCCCACCTTCACTAGGGCCCGCCCAGGCCTGGCCCCACCCCCGCGCCTGGCCTCACTCACCATATGCTCCATGCAGATGCTGATCTCCCCGTCGCTATAGAAGGCCCCATAGAAGCCCACAATGTAGGGCGAGTTGCACTCGTGCAGCACTTGCAGCTCGCGGATGATCTGGTTGCGGATGGCCGGCTTGATCTCCAGGTGGATGAGCTGCAACAGCAGGGAGGCCGGGCCGCTCAGGGATGCCAGGAAAGCGAGGGCAGGTGGGTGGGTGGTGGTCCTGGGCTCTGACTGTCTTCACAAAACCAGTCAGGACCAACCCAGCTGCAGGTCAAGACCACTGCCAGGTGTGTGCCCAACAGCACCTCTGCCATCAAGGCCCACAATGCCACCCTCCGTGACAGCCAAGAGGGGACAATCTGTATTTCAGCGATGGGTGGGCAGTGGAGACACCCAGCGAGGTCTATCCGCACACTGGAGTATCATTTGGTCAGGAAAAGGAGTGAGGGTGTGCCACTGGCCACAGCATGGATGGACCTTGAGGACGCCAGACAGAGGACACAGCATGGGGTTTCACGGACAGGAATCATCCAGGACAGGCACCTCCAGAGACAGGAAGTGGACCTGGGTGCCGGGGGTCATGGGTGGACAGGGTGACTGTTTATGGAGACGAACAGGGCTTCCTTTTGGAAACTGCCTTTTGTTGGGAATGTTCTCAAACTGCAGTAATACATACACAACACGGTGCCACATGCCTATACTTGTTTATCTGAGCAACCAATTTGAACACAGACAGCCACCGTTGTTAATTTCCTATCACCTTATCTGAAAATACATATTGTTTGTATTGTTTTTGTGTTATTTTGTAAATGTCAGTGTGTCTGTTAATGTTTTCTTCCTTTTATTTTTTATTTATTTAATTTTTTTTTGGTTTTTCTCCGGTACCGGGAACCGAACTCACGACCTTGCGCTTGCCAGGCAGGCGCTTTTGCCGCTGAGCTAAATCCCCAGCCCTATTTTTAAAATTTAAAATAAAGGAAAAAAAACCCCCACCGCGAACATCCTAAAAGAGAAAAGCCATTGAGCGGGATGTGATGGTGCACTCTTGTAATTCCAGCATTTGGAGGCTGAGGCAGGAGGACTGCATGTTTGAACCTAGCCTGGGAAACATAGGAACTTAATAAACCCTGTCCCAAAATAAAAAAAGACTTGGCAATAAAGCTCAGAGAGACGGTCCTGGGTCCAATCCCTTGTACTGAAAGAAACAAAACCCCAAGAGCTATATACTCTGGAAGAAGTACACCGAGAAGTCCCCGTGAGTTACATCTCAATTAAGCTGTCAAACCTAGGAGGCAACCACGCCCCACTGCCCCAGGCCAGCACGCACCAGCACACAGGGAGTCTGGGCCTCACTTCCTCCAGGCTGAGGCAGCAGGTGAGGTGTTCCCAGCACCTGGCCTCAGGGCACTGGAGGCTGCTAACCTCCCCACCACTGGAGTCCACATGGACAGAGAGAACTGCCTTCGAACTCATCATTTCTCCAAATGCAGGAAGATCCCCTGGAGATTCAGAAAACACGGGATAAAAACACCACGAACAACCACCAGCCACTGAGCCCAAGGGAAGGAAGAACCGTGGCACCGTGGGACGGACCTGTGTCAGGGGGAGCCCCAGGCGTGCCAGCTCTCAGGACACTCCCCTCGTGTAGCAGCAGAGGGGAGGCCAAGGGTGGCTGTCTGCAGCTTTCAGCAACTGCTCCAACGCTCACAGTCAGGTCTGAGAGAGAACGAGGAAGCGGACGTGTGCTCGGCGACAGGGAGCGAACTGGGCCAAACACCATTAGGGCACAGACCAGCACACTGGAACGGCAGCACCAAGGTGACAGCAGGCCCAGCCTTTCAAGGACGTCACCCTCAGGCATAACCAAGGGGACAAGGTGAGGGACAAAGAGCTGCCTGTTGGAGGGCACCAGGGCATGAAGGGGCTGATGTGGCCTCCGGGGCACAGAGGCTGAGAGTGGCTGCGACTGGGGTGTGCAGGGAGTGCTGAGGTGTCCCCTCCCTCCTCCAGCCCGACTCTCAGGGTTCCCATTCGTGAGCAGCAGGTGTGGTTCACAAGCAGCACAGGCTCAATGCTCAAAACGGCACAGGCCACGGGGACAGGCAAGGCCAGCTGGCGGGCAGTGTGGATGGTCCCGAGTGCTGCTGTCCAAGGAGATACAGTGCAAGCTCAGTATTTAATTGTAAGCCACTGAGGTGCTGTGACTTTAAAAAAAGTAAAAAAGGCCACTGTAGTGACACATGCCTGTAATCCCAGCACTGTGGGAGGCTGAGGCAGTTTGAGTGCAGCCTGGACAACTTACCAAGACTCTGTCTCAAAATTATAAAAAGGGTTGGAACAGCAGGTCAGAGGGAAGGTTCTCCGACACAAACACAGGTAAGTAAATAAAAATCAGATGAGTGTGGTAGTACATGCCTATAAGCCTAGCACTCAGGTCAGGAAGCTGAGGCAGGAAGATAACCTTGAATTCAAGGCCAGCCTGAACTATATAGAGAGACTCTGTCCCAAAACAAACAAACAAACAAATAAACAAAAAACAAAGAACAAACAAAAACAACAACAACAACAAAAAACCAGCCAAAATACACAAAACATAAAAAACCACCAAGGTGAGTGATTTGATGGGCGTTTCTAATCTGAAAACCTGAAACTTTTTTGTGTGTGGCATTGGGGCACGGGTGGAACCCAGGGTCTTCCACATCCCCAGTGACTTCTGAAACCTTCTGAGCACTGACAACAGTCAAGCAGTTTTGGTTTGGAGCATTTTGGACCAGGAAAGCTAAGGTGACAAAACCCAGACAAATATTCCAAACTCCTCCCCAAAAAATATCCCAGCTGGGTGTGGTGTTGCACACCTGTAATCCTAGCAGTCAGGAGGCTGAGGCAGGAAGATCACAGTGAGTTTAAGGCCAGCCTTCGGTACACAGTGGTTCACAGCCAGCCTGAATTACATAATGACAGCCTGTCTCAAAAAAACCGAACCAAACCAAACCAGACCAAACACTAAACTGGAAAAACTTCTGGCCCTAAGTATGGGATACTGTATCTGTATTTGCTGAACCCAATATATCAAAAGAATTACTGCTTTTTGTTTTTTGTTTATTTTTGGCAGTGCCAAGGATGTAACTCAAGGCCTTTGCACTGAGCTGTATCTCCAGCACTTTGTATATTGTGTTTTTGAGACAAGGTCTTGTTTTATAATTTAGACTGGTCTTAAACCCACTATGTAGTCCAGGCTGGCCTCAAATTCACAATTCTCCTGCCTCAGCCTCCCAAGAGCTGGGATTATAAGTATATGCTACTGCTCTTGGCAAGCTCTTTGTTATTTTGAGACAAGATCTCCGTATGTTACCAAATTGCCTACACCAGCCTAGAACCTATAGGCCTGCTTCAGTCTCCCAGAGAGCTGGGATTACAGACACTTGTCATGATACCTGGTCATCTTGCCCATTTATTTTTTGAGACAGGACTCCCTAAATTGTCCAGTCTTGTTTTGAACTCTTTTTTTTTTTTTCCCTCCCTGACATGGTCTTTTGAAATCACTACATAGTCCTTCTAACATGCAGCAATCCTCCTACCTCAGTCTCCCAAGTGCTGGCATTATAGGTGTGTGCCACCACACCAGGCCGTGTCCCATTTTAGAACTACAGTTTAGACATGAGATCAGTGTAAAAATACCACGGAGATTCTTTTTCACACCAAGCCTGTGGACCTTGGGTGTGCTCTGCTCACCTGGATGCCTTGATGGGACTGACTGTCTCAATGGCCTGGTGGTCCTATCTGAGCAGGGATTGCTACAGGGATAGCCCAGCTCTGATCAGGAATGTGACAGGAGCCAGAAGGTAAACAGTGCAAGGACACCGAGCACCTGTGAGGCTTTACAGGAGGAAGAGGTGATGAATACCCCAGGTCCCCGGGGACCTTAGAGTCCTTACCGGGAAATAGGGCTATGCAGGCAGGGGCTTCCTGACTGCTGCAGAAGCTGTATGCAAGTGGGGTTTGTACAAGGGACTGTGGCTGAGTTTGGCTTTGACGGTGCTGGGATAGCCAGTGTTTGTAGAGTGAGCTCACATCTACCGCCATATCACCCTGAACGTGCCTGATCTCATCTGTAGAGTGAACTCAAGACTCCGACCAGAAGCCACCGAGAATGCCAGAACCAGGAGTGCTAGTGCACGCCTGTCACTGCAGTACTCTAGTAGAATGAGGCAGGAAGATCTCAAGTTTGAGTGTAACCCGGGCAATAGTGACTTAGTGAGGCCCTGTCTCAAAATAAAAAGTAAAAAGGGCTGGAGAGGGCAGCTTAGTGCAAAGGCCTTGGGTTCAGTCCCTGGTGCTTAAAATCACACATTGCTTTAATTAACGCTGTGGCCTGGTCCTGCTGGGTAAAAACTCTGAAGAGAGAGCGGGGCGGGTGCCACCCTGCATGCTGGGCTAGGTCTGGCGTGATCACGGTTGCAGCCACATCTTGCATCACAGATCACAGACTCACCGCTTGGGAGCTGGGATTTGGACAGCAGAAGCGTGACCTGGACCATACTTGCAACCTCTGGAGTTAGTTGTCAAAAATGCCCAGTGGCAGCCCCTGGGAGCTGCACAGGTGTCCCTCTCTGGGCTGGAGTCCTCTTGTTTGCTCCAACCTGCTGCTTGTCCACAGCGGCTGCAGTGACGGAATCTGGGGACCGTTCTGTGCGGACCAGTGCAGGAAGCCAGTGAGGAGATGGGCCGGGAACTTTAGTGCAGTAGATTCTGGATGCTCAGCCCTGACAGCAGCCTATCCGTCAGGGTCCGTAATCAAGGGTGTCCTGCAAGGTTCTGTACTCATTCCAGACCCTGACCCAAGTGGCCCTTGGGTTTCCGACCCACATAGTGGAACTGGATTCCCCCATACTAGGGACTGAGCTCAGGGCCTCGACTCTGAGGTACATTCTCAATTCTCTTTAAAGTCTGAGACAGATCTTCTTAAGTCACTAAGCTGCCCAGGATAGATTTGAACTTGCACTCCTCCTGCCTCAGCCTCCAAATGTGCTAGGATAATAGGCATGAGCCACTGCGCCTAGCTATGATCTGGGCTTAAATGAGAAAACATGAGGGGCCAGCATCAGCTGTGGTGTCCTCTGCAAAAGCGATGCGGAAGTCAGTGGTCCTGAGCACGCTGTGACTGCCGCTCTAGAACGGGGCAGACAAGCGTAAGAATGTGGCGCATAGCCCAAAGGCCAGGTCTCCTGTGGGACAAAGGGACTGGGAGAAGCCCAAGGCAAAAAAGGCAAACTGAGGTCTTTCTTGGTCTTTCCTGCCTCAAGCGACCCAGGCATTTTGCTCCTCCGGCTCAGAGGAGTACACAGGAAGGGACCAAAGGCCACACTAGGGAGCAGAAACCTTTACAGTTAAGCAAATTCGAGAGTGCAGTTTTCTCAGGCCTTGTAGATCTGGTGGGCTTGGTGAACTCCTGGCAACTCACATGCATCAGAATAATCCCTGCAAACCAAATGGACTGGGGCATGCTGGGCATGGTGGGACCACACTGCCCCATTCCCGTGCCACTCTGCATTTGGAGCTCTGGCTCCTGCATCCCTGTGTCTTTCACCGGCACTGCTGCAGGTAGACGCAGGCTGTCCACCACCCGGCACATGAGGGACCACCCAAAAGATCCTTGATGGTCTGAGCAGGGCCTGACATATGCACTCGGTGCTGTCCTCAGGGTCCCTGCTGACCCCAGACCAGGGTGCAGGGCAAGGCAGGCCCAACATGCCCAGAGCTTGGCAAAGGCCACCTGCACGAAGGGGCAGAAACAGCAAGTGCTGATTTTGGGGTGCAGTGGGAATGCTCTGGAAGAAACATCTGCAGAGGTAAATCCCCACAGAGACCCACGGGGAGTAGGACGGAGCCCCTGGGACATAAGAGGCCTATGCAGCCGGCAGGGCAGGCAGGGACTGCAAGACGATGGGCTGTGGCCAATGCAAAGTCCCCCCAGTTATGTCTCGGAGCCACTGGTCCCAAAGGGTCATATGTTCTTCGTCTCAGCACCCTGCCCCTCTTGGGACTCTTCTCCATCAGAGTGGAGGGAAAGGCTGGCCTGGAGCCAGTGTGGGTAGGCAGGCGGGTGAGCAGCGCCACGGTGTGTGGTCGCCACAGACAGATGACTGTCACGGACCGGGCCATGAGGCCCAGATGTTTGCTGAACCCCATTCTAGAGATCTAGATGGTCCTAGGAAGGTATTTTGTATGTATTTGTTTGGTACTGGTGATTGAACCCAGGGCGTTTGCAGAGCTACATCCCCAGCTTTCCCCTACCCCTGCCTTAAATTTAAAGCCAGGGTCTTGTTAAGTTGCTAGGTTGCCCAAGGTGGGCTCAAACTTGCAATCCTCCTGCCTCAGCCTCCTAGGGTGCTGGGATAACAAGTGTGCACTGCCATGCCTGACAGGAAGGTCTCTTCAGATGTAATGAACATTTAAATCAGTTAACTCTGGGTAACGCAAGTGACTCTGTCATGGGGTGGGCCTCATCTAATCAGGGAGAAGGTCACAAAAGAGCAAGGCCTTGGGACTCGTGCAGAAACAAGCTATTCTCTGGGGCTCCAGCCTCACTGCACGACCTGCACAGTGCACAACCACCAGACCCTACAATCTTGTAAGCCAACTCCTTCCACCTCTCTCAGGCTGGGCGTGTGGCTTAGAGGTGGGCGCCTGCCTGAGGCCCTGGGCTCCATCCCCTCCAGCACACACAACCTACTGAGCCTGTTTCTCAGGAGAACCCTAACTGAGCAGCTGGAAATAGCTCTTTCTGGGGACAAATGGTCCCTGGAGACCGCCAGCCGGACAAGAGGCCTGGCTACCTCTTGAATCTCTTTCCTGTTTCCCAAGACCTGTCTCCACCACACACTGAGCAAGAGCAGGGCCCCGGGTGGTCAGTGGTCCTGCACAAGCTTCTGCTCACCTTCCGGGCCATGATGAGGCCTGATGGTCTGTGCTGGACCTTGGTGACCACACCGCCATTGCCGGCCCCCAGCTCTGAGATCCGTTCAAAGTCGTCGTCCTTAAGCTCGCCGACCTTGGCTTTCTGGGTGAGGAAGGCCTCAAGCCGCTTCTTCTGCTGCTCATCTAGTTCCAGTTCCTCTAGCTTCTTTTGCAGGTCCACCAGGTTCGCTCTGCAAGGGGCCCAGGGCCAGGGTTAACAGGGACCTGTGAGCCCACACGGTGGCCACGTGCCAACTTCCGGGAAGATGCAGAAGGGACAGGGACCTGATTCCTGCACTCAACAGCATATCAGCTAGCAGGAAAGCACTCTACCATGGAGCCCCTTTTACTTTTTATTCTGAGGTAGGGTCTCACTGAATTGCTAAGTCGTCTATGCTGGGCTCGAACTTGTGTCCCGTCTGTCTACACTTAGGTTGGGGAACAAATGTGTGCAGTGGCTTCAGAGCAAAGAACCAGAAGCAAGTGTAGAAGAAACTGCACGGTTCGTGCATGTGTCAACTTGAGCACTGGGGGGAGGGAGGGAAGGCTGTGGGGGAACTTAAAACAGTGTAGATGACATTAGAGCACTAAGTACAACCAGCACGATCCCGCCACGTCGTCACACACTACTGTGAAAGGTATGTGGAGCACGACACACATGCAGTTCTCAAACCCAATCAGAGCCAGGCAAACTTATGCACCCTCCTCCATCCCAGAGGTCTCGGAGGCTGAGGCAGGAGGATCGCAAGGTTGAGCCCAACTGCTAACTAAGACTCTATATATATATATTTTTTTTTTTCCCCCGGTACCAGGAATTGAACTCATGACGTTGCACTTGCCAGGCAGGCACTGTGCCGCTGAGCTAAATCCCCAGCCCCTAAGACTCTATATTGAAATACAAAATAAAAAAAGGGCTGGAGTGTAACTCAGTGCAAAGACTCTGTGTTCCATCTCCAGTATGGCAAACAAATAAATAAATTTCAATGGGAATAAAAGTAATGCTTGTTTATTTTAATTTTTTGGAATTAAGCCTGAAATCCAGAATTGGCACTGCACGCTTCCCAGCCTCCTGGACTTGGCTATGTCACAGACGGAGGGCTGACTGCAATAGGGCTGTGGAGCACACAGCCGCAGACCCAAGTTCAGGTCTCTACAGAACAGGTGCCTCCAAGGGTCCCGGTCACCAAGGTTTGCCGCTCTTGAGGAGATGCCAGCAGGGGATGACGGCAGAAAGGGTGTTCTGACAGGAAGCATCCAGTCCTGAAGCTCCACCATTATCCACTTACAGTTGTGAGCCAAGGGGCACGCACACCAGAGCAGATGTAACCAGCTGCCTGGTGATGTCACCTGGGCTGGTGTTGCAATGAGCTGACTGGCAGGCACCCCTTTCCGGGTGGGGGACACCTCACTGCGTTCTCACTGGCACCTGGGGAAGCAGGTCTTATGGAGTCACAGCCCAGACAGGAGTAGCAGGCCTGCAGGGGCTGAGTACCCTGCCGGAGGTCACATACCAGGAAGCCCCTGAGCCAGGGCCAGGAGCCCGAGCAAGGACCCACGGCACACCTGTTCAGCAAAGACTAGGATGTTGCAATGCCAAGATACTGAGAGGTCCAAGAGGGGAACGGAGGAATGGATACCAGTGAATGAATGAACGCATTCTTCACTGCAGGGCTGATGAAGCAGCTCTGCTGTGACATCAAGGATGCCTCTGGAGTCAGCCGGTTAATCGTCAATGCTGGAATTACCGGCCTGAGCTAACACCCCCACTTTTCTTTGAGATGCAGTCTAACTACGTTGCCCAGGCTTCATTTAAACTTGTGATTTTCTTGCCTCAGCCTCCCCGTGTGCTGTGATTACAGGCGGGGGGGGGGGGGGAGGACCACACCTGCTGGACATGGCCAAGTGTCTGGTTATGATAGTTTACTCACAACACATGGATCAAGCGTCCCCACCTCACCTGTGTTGAGTGTTTAAGGTCACCAAACATGTTCTCACGGTGACGTACCCCAAATACCCTGGCTGGTGTGCAGCGCAGGGTTCGATGTCACTGTGGCATGATCCAGGTCCCCCCGGCACTCAGAGACCCCCGTTACTATGATTTCACTACCTAGGATGCTCCCCACTCATCTTTTTCCCTACACCCATCTCCCTTACCCATCCTCACTTGGGGACCCCGTCACCCCATCTTTTCCCTGCAGGGATCTCCCCTTATCCTATCTCATTAATCAGGAAACCTGACCTGGTTCCGACCACTCACACCTGCCTATCACCCCCATTTTGCTACCGCGGGACCTCTCAGCCCAAGTCACTCACTGGGGACCACTCCCTGCATCCCGTCCTCTCAGGCTTCCCCCACCCTCACTTTACCATTCAGGGGCCCCTCATGCCTCCTTTTGCTATTCTGGGGTCCCTGAGCCCATCTTTTCCTACAGGGGCCTCCGTGCATCAGATCTCTGCATTGAGGTGCCCCTCGCCTCATGCTCTCTTCCCAGGGGGTCCCCACCCCGTCACCATCACAGCACTCACACACCGTTCGTCTTTTTTTTTTCCTCGCTGGTCTTGCTCTTCCCCCTCAGGGCCCCCCCGAACCTCCCTCCCCTCCCCCCCGAACCGCACCACTCGGGGACCCCTCCGTGCGTCACTTCCCTCCTGCACCCCAGATCACCCTCATTTCCCCACTCGGGCCCCACAGCCTACCCTCCCCCTGCAGCGTCTGCCCCGGCCCGGCTTCCCTCCTCGCCCCGCACCTCCCTGCTCGGGGCCTCTCCGGGTCTCGCCCTGCAGACGCCTCCAGCGCCCCGACGCTTCCTCCCCGGGCCCATCGCCCCATCTCCCCGCAGTGAGCCTCCTACTGCG